TAGTTACATCTTTGGAGCGATGTGCCCACGTCTCCCACTGTCCCTCCTGGCTCTGGTTGCCCACAGGGGTAGAGAAGAGAGGATTACTCTTCCAGGGACCACTCACTTTGTTATGTGATACGTGCTGTGTTTCCACCTCAACCCGCCACCCCATTGCATTTTCATTAAGGACCTGGTAGAAATAAACTGGGCAGGTGCGTGGTTCTCTGAGACTTGCCTCTCCCACTCTCTGTTTCTCTTTCTCTCCCGTCCAGATCATGTTTCACTCCTTTGGCAACAAACAAGGGCCCCAGCATGGGATGCTGATCAACACTCCCTACGTCACCAAGGACCTGCTTCAGGCCAAGCGGTTCCAGGCCCAGTCCCTGGGGACCACCTACGTGTATGACTTCCCGGAGATGTTCAGGCAGGCAAGTTCTGGGGCTCAGATGCAGCTCCACCCCTGGTCCCCATAGAGGCTCTACCTGCATCCACACCCCTCATCCTCAGTTACTCTTCTGAAGACCCCGCTCTAAAGAACATGGTCTTTGTGAAGAAAAGGAAACTGAACACACTGTACCTCTGTATGGGTGACTTCCGGTTTTTCTCTTTCCTCCCCTCTCTACAGGCTCTTTTTAAAATGTGGGGCTCCCCAGACAAGTACCCCAAAGACATCCTGACATACACCGAATTGGTGCTGGACCCTCAGGGCCAGCTGGCGGAGATGAACCGACTTCCTGGAGGAAACGAGGTGAGAACTCAGCAGAGCCCAGCCCCTGGCTGGAACCACCCTTGTAAAAAAAAAATGTTCCCCCTAAAGAAACAAACTCGCTTTCCTTGTGCATCTGTCTCCTCCCCAGGTGGGCATGGTGGCCTTCAAAATGAGGTTTAAGACCCCCGAGTACCCGGAAGGGCGGAACGTTATCCTCATCAGCAATGACATCACCTTCCGAATCGGATCCTTTGGCCCCAGAGAAGACCTTCTGTACCTGCGGGCGTCCGAGATGGCCCGAGCAGAGGGCATCCCTAAAATCTACCTCGCTGCCAACAGCGGGGCCCGTATCGGCCTCGCAGAGGAGATCAAACACATGTTCCAGGTGGCTTGGGAGGACCCGGCAGACCCCCACAAGGTACATCACGAAGCCGGTGTGGCAGTGTGAGCCCATAAGCTCGAGCTGTATTTTCCATTGGAGGGGTGGGTAACCACACCTCCAAGGGAGCGGAAAACGTGGTATCGCTCTTTATGTATAAAGCACAGATATCCATACAGCACATAGACAGGCACACAGTATATTGGTGTTAAAATTTTGTGGGTGGGGTTGGAGATTAGGGGGGAAAAAAGTCTAAAAAGACTCCTTAGGGGGACAATAATTCTTAAAAGTTATTTTTTATAGAAACACAGAGTTGGTATATTCTGAGCATGTCCTGAACACAGTGCACACTGAGGATGCAAAGGTGAAGAATGCGTCTCCCTGGCCTCGGGGAGTTCTTAAAAGTCATGGAGGAGATAACAGTGACACCAGCTATAAAAGGCAAAATGAATTCCACAAAAGCACACACTTTGTGATGTGAAATGCAGGGGGACAGATTTATTCTTTGCAACCAGAGCATGTGTTCTCAGGGGGTAATATTTCCCCCTCCCCCAGAAGGGGCACAAATTGTTCTTTTCACATAAAAAGCACACGCGCACATATACAGACATACATTATGTAAACAATATACCTGTAATAACATTTTATTGGGGGGGTGGTATTAAGAAAAAAAAGCATCTGAAAGGCTCCATAGGGGAGAGAGAATGAAAAGATGATTAAGAAACGTTAAATCAGAGAGACTAGGAAAAAAGTTTGTGTTATAAGGATGAGTGGAAAACACACAGTGCCTTCACTTTATAGCTGTTACTAATATGGTGCTAACATCAGTCAGGTGACTGTGTTGTTAACATGTTATTAACATCCTCTCTGCCTAAAGCTGACAATTTAAAAAAAAAAACTGAGAGCATGGAGGGTAGAGCTCAGTGGTAAAGTGCATGCTTAGCATTGCAGGAGGTCCTGGATTTAATTCCCAGTATCTCCATTAAAACAAACAAACAAATAAGTAAGTGAAAGAAGGAAGGAAGGAAGGAAGGAAAGGAGGGAGGGAGGGAAGGAGAGGAAAGAGAAAGGAAAGAAAAGAAAGAAAGAAAGAAAGAAAGAAAGAAAGAAAGAAAGAAAGAAAGAAAGAAAGAAAGAAAGAAAAGATCAAATTACCTCCACCCCAAAACTAAAAATTAATAAAAATTTTTAAAAAAAGGCTGTTGGTGTAGGGCTGTTGGACTTAGCCTCACTGAAGTGTATATTTTTAAGGGATTTAAATACCTGTACCTGACCCCGCAAGATTACACGAAAATCAGCCCTCTGAACTCCGTCCATTGTAAACACATCGAGGAAGAAGGAGAATCCAGGTAAATTCCTTAACAGCTAAGGCTGCTCCCTCATTTTTCCAGTGGCTAATTCCAGCTGCTTGCGGGGAATCTGTCTCTTAGCCCCTGGGCTGGTGACGGTATTTTCAGGCGGGTGGTGGTATTTGTACAGTGGGACCCCCCCACACACACACACTTCCATTGTGGGCACTGAGTACTTAGACACCTGGGGCATTTTTTTTTAGGGTGAACCCATCCTTGTCATCCCCAAGATGGAGATTTAGGAGAATTAGGTTGGATTCTCGCAATGTCCCCGGAGCCGCAGGTTTACGGTCTATGGCCGCATCAGCCAAACTGATACAGAGGTGCTTTGACGAGCTGGGGAGATGTGGGCAGGGGCTCTGTGAGAATGTCAAAGGCTATGCCAGCTGTCTTTTCCAGGGAAGGTTGATGGGGGCTTTTTAGTGAGGTTGACCAAGCCAGAATTTCCCAGGCTGAGTTTTCTGGAATGTTAGTAGTGATCTGGTGTGGGGAGGTGGAAGGGGAGTTAACATTTCTCATAGTCAAGTAAGATTGAGAAACACCGAGTTCAACAAGATCTAACAAGCGTCTTTACTGCAGTTTACTTCTTGGAACATTTAACGCGCTGACATGCCTTTTATGACTCTAATGCGTTGGGTGTACTTACATGGCCATGGAATCTTGACTGATTGATTGACTATGAATGAAGTAGCTTCTCCATGTATACCCCCATCTCTCTGGAGACTAAAGGCTATTCTAGCTGGCTTTTGGAGGAATGCGGGGTGGGAGTTACATTTCATTAGAATAGCCTCCAAACAGACAACCTTTATCTTCGGTTGGAGGGGTGGTAATTACTCACGCTGTACTTGCCCTTCTAGAGACTGGAGGGCCCATCGTGAGGGTTTTAGACCTCCTGCTTTCATTTCACCTCTGGCTGCTCTGTCATCTTGCAATCCCTCACCTGCTCATCCTTCCTTCCTTGGGCTCCTGGAGACGCATCCGCCTTGGATTTTTCCGGGCTGGAGTTCAGTCTTTAACCGGCGTTTGGTTCTTGAAGGTACGTCATCACGGATATCATTGGGAAGGAGGAAGGTCTGGGCGTAGAGAATCTGCGAGGCTCGGCCATGATTGCCGGGGAGACCTCCCTGGCTTATGAAGAGATTGTCACCATCAGCTTGGTGAGTCCCCTCCTGTTTTATTTTCTTTTACATCTCAACTTTTTAGTACAGAAACTTCAAAGTCATCACGAAAGTAAAGAGAGCCATTTCTGCACCCCCAGTCCCTCTGCACCCCCGTTTTGGAATATTTTAAAACAAACCCTTACTTGTATCTTTCCATCTGTAAGTACCCCAGTGTGGATCTTTACTAGATAAAGCTCCCCCCCTGCGTTTTTGTTTTTTTTTTTTTTAACATAACCACGATACTATTACACCCAACAACATTAACCACAATTCTTTAATATCATCAGAACCCAGTTTGGGTTCAGTTTTTTTTAAATTAAAGTATAGTTGATTTACAATGTTGCATTAGTTTCTGGTGTACAGCATAGTGATTCATTTATATGCATATATATTCTTTTTCATATTCTTTTTATTATAGGTTATTACAAGCTATTGACTATAGTTCCCTGTGCTCTACAGTAGGACCTTGTTGTTTATCTGTTTCATAGACAGTAGTGTGTATCTGCTAATCCCAAACTCCTAATTTATCCCTCTCCTCTCCCACCTTTTTCCTCTTTGGTAACCGTAACTTTGTTTTCTATGTTTGTGAGTCTGTTTCTGTTTTGTAAGTAAGTTCACTTGTGTCATTGGCGGGGTGGGGGGGTTCAGTTTTAATAGTTATTTCAAAAGTATCTTTGTATAGTTGGTTGGTTTGAAATCAGGGTCCAATCTCCTCTTATTGAAAAGGTACTGAGTGTTTAGAAGAACTTTTGTCCGATTTTAACTGGTACTAAACTGTATCTTCCTGCTCCCCACTTTGGCCTTTTCAAAAATATTTTCTGTTTCTGGTAGAGGAGGAATGAAAGTACTCTTTCATGGTGAACTGTCACTCAGGGCCTGATTTTTACCTTCAATGTTGGGTCTTTGGTTTCTAAGGTGGAAAATGCTGGCCATGAGTGTCTTCCTCAGGCTTCTTTTCTTGATGTCATTTATGTATGTTTCACATATATTTCAAAAATAGAGATATATGTATCTGCATATTCCTATATATGCCTTTTCATTTTGAAAGATATAAAAAGATACATATATTTTTACATATTCCAAAAATATATAAATGTATATGTAAATGTTTTATATATATATACACACATACACGTTGGCCTGATGCTGTTAACTCGGCACAAGTCTCACTCGGCTTTTTCCAGTTTCACACGCACTCCTAGCCGTCCTTTGGCTGTGGCGGTGGCTGCAATGGCTTAGAAGTGACCAGGCTCACAGAAGCCAGAGACATACCTCTTGAAGCGAGAACCAGAACATTCTATGTCTGCTGTCTGTCTTTACAACAGTCTTCTTCACCAACCCCAATCTTTCTGGATATGAGGCCAAGTTCAGGGGACCCTGGAGGGCAGGCTTGTGCCGCGCTGTTTGGCCCCTGATCAGGTTGCCAGTGGCCAAGCTTAACCTGCAAGTGTGCCCGGTGGGTTCCTGGGCTGTCCCCGCTGCAGGGGGCAGGGCCTGTGGTCCTCGGGACTGCAGGAGACATCCTGTCTCCACAGGTGACCTGCCGGGCCATTGGGATCGGGGCCTACCTGGTGCGGCTGGGCCAGCGAGTGATCCAGGTGGAGAACTCCCACATCATCCTGACCGGGGCAATGGCTCTCAACAAGGTGACCTTGAAGGGGCCACTGGGCAGTGGACATACAGGGGGGTCATTTTTACATTCCCAGTGTCCCTGGTGGGGAATTTTTCTCAACTTGAAACCACTTTCATCCCTACGATTTTCCAATGTGCAGTTACGTGAGCCTCTTATGAGCCAAAAAGAAATTATATATATATACACACACACACACACACACACACACACATATACATATTAGGTTCTTTGGTGGAACTTTCTGTATTACTGTAATTTAAATTTTTAAAAATTATTAAAATGGCATTACACATTGCAGAAAATTGGAAAAAAGACCCCCCCAAAGGTGATTTTGCTCCTACTATAATTTTGGTGTATTTTCCTCTCATGTCTTTATGTGATTAGACTCTTAGTGGATGCAATTTCATCCTACTTTTTTTCACTGTAGTAAAATGCTGTCCACATTGCTATAAAGCCTTCATAACAAATGTTATGCTAAAATCCCGCTGAGGGTCTCAAAGTCCGGCCCCTGAGCTAATAGCGTCAGCATCACCTGGGATCATAATAAAGATGCAAATTCTCAGGCCCCACCGCAGACCTGCTGAGTCAGAAGCGCTGCGTAGGGCTTTGCCTTTGAGAGGACCGAAGTAATCGCTGGCTCACTGATTCTCAACTTGGGCTGCATACTGGAATTGCCTGGAAGTTAAAAAAAAAAAAAAAAAGATACCAGTGATTCTGATATAATCGGTCTGGATGCAACCTGGGCATCAGGACTTTAGAAAGCTCCCAGATCATTCTAACATGCAGCTGGGGTTTGAGGACCACCAAGGGAGATGATTTCTGAACAAGTGGACGTGGAAGGGCCCCAGGTCGGGCAGGACCTTGCTAACCATGCCGTGTCAAAGCAGGTCCTGGGCAGAGAGGTTTACACATCCAACAACCAGCTGGGCGGCGTACAGATCATGCACTACAATGGCGTCTCCCACATCACCGTGCCAGACGACTTCGAGGGTGTCTGTACCATCCTGGAGTGGCTGTCCTATATGCCAAAGGTGCAATTCCTCCCTGCAGCCTAGAGCCCAGAAGACTCTGTTACCAAGTTCATTTGCGAGGGGGTGTGGGGAGCAGGGAGCACCGAAAATATGGTTGGGGTTCATTTTCCTTTACTCTTCCCTCCTTCCCTTTCTGGTACCCAGCCCTGCCCTCGCTGTTCTTTGCTTTTTTTTTTAAAAAAAAGCCATTGTAAGGATGCTGTCTGTTGATCCTTTAGAAAGGGGTGGCATTGCCTCTCAAAACAGGTAACATTGGACAACAGAATCTTTAAGCTTTGCTGTCAGGCTAGATTTGATAACTGGCTTCCTCCTGAGTAGCAGGGAGGCCTTGGGACCGTCTCTTCATCTTCCTGAGCCTCGATTTCCTTGTCTGTGAAATGGGAGCAACAAAAGCACTAACCCCAGGGTGTTAGCATCATGGTTAAGTGAAGTGATGTGGAGCGCCCAGCGCTCAGAGGGCCCTCGCCAAGCACGGCTCATCATTGCAATGATCAGCTTCGGCTTCGGCTGCACAAACAGACAGCTGCATCGTCATAGTCAGAGAAGAGCGAAGTGCAGACCGCAGGCATTACTGACAAGCACAGAGGACTGAGTTGGAGACCTGGTTTTCTCTTCTAGGATAATCACAGCCCAGTCCCTATCATCACACCCACTGACCCCATTGACAGAGAAATAGAATTCCAACCGTCCCGCGTGCCCTACGACCCCCGGTGGTTGCTTGCAGGAAGGCCTCACCCAAGTAAGTCCTAAAGAGCTTTGCCTGAGACCTGGGTCTTAGGTTTTGTTTCTGCACTGGGGACGGGGAACATACAGGTGGAAGCACTGATATTTGGTCAGATGTTCCAGAGGGATATACCTAAGATCAAATGCAGAGGGCGTGGAGGAGGGGGATTTTTCTCTATGCTTTTCCTGAGCTATTTTTTGACCAAGAAAGAGTGGAAACAGCCTCAAGTTTCTGGAGCTGATGGTTGGAGGTGAAGTGTAGCACAGGTCATGGCTTCCCTCCCTACACTGCCCAGTGGTCACACAGCTGGAAACTCTAGTGCTGAAACATCACTGTTTCAAAGAGAAGGATGCTTCTCCCCCTACCCACCCCCACCGACTTTTTCTCTATTTGGCTAAACTTAACTAAGGTAACTCTCCATGAGTTTCCCCAGGACGAGCAACTTAGCCTCTTCTACTCTCACTTTTGCAGACACCCATTTATAGATGTACACACATGTGCGTGCCCGCGTGCTTGGACACACACACGTTCTCTCTCTCCCTGTCTCTCTGAATGGGACAGGTTTGCCTCCTGGAGGTATCTGATGACATTTTGAGCAACCAGGGCAGAACGGGAAAGCTGACCCCCACCTCCGCCCCCCGCGGTTAACCCTAATCCCAAGTCTAGAATTTCACATGCTGCTCCCTTTAAGAAATCGGCCTCCCCATTCAGCTCCGTGGAGCAGGGGAGGGGCCCCCAGGAGCCAGCCAGGTTCTGCTGGTAGAAAAAGCTCTGTGGCCTGTTTCTCCCTCTGCCATTTCTCTTGGGCTTTCTCGCCAGTGAGCACTGGCTAAAGCATTGGCTTAACTTCATTTACAAAACAAAACAAAACAAAACAAAACAAAAACCCCGCCTGGCAGTTTTTTCCAGCTGTAGGCTGAGAAAGCTATTAGGTTGGGCTGCTTTGTTCCCAGGAGCCCAGCCTCCCACACCTGCAACTTGAGATCTTTCATGCTACCTGCCTCCCCTTGTCCAAACTGCAGTCATCTACACCGTGGTGTGGATTCAAGCCACCATGTCCTCTCCAGGGATGACTGCGATTGACATCACACCAGATCTTAGCCAAAAGGCCAAGAAACGATGCAATTGACATCTTATTCATTTTCTCTCTCTCTCTCTGAAATTGAAGACTTTCTTCACAGTTGAATGATTTTTAAGCAGCAGCCACCAGGTCGGGGATGAGTTTTGAGGGGGGCAAGTGATCCCGTCCTGAAATCCTGCCCTCCAAAGGCATCCATCGCCTCTATTTGCTTCTTGGGAAGAAACGGCAGAGACTGTGGTTAGGATCTCCTTGTGTTTGGCACTGAGGGGAGTTGACGGAGTTGGATGTTCTCTAAGGACTGAATTCCTGACTTGGTGTATTGTTTTTTTTCTACCACAGTAAAAAAATGTATTAAACCATCCTCTGCTGTTCCAACACGTACAACCTTATTAGAGCAGTAACAATGATGACAATAGGTAGCACCTATAACGTTAGTAGGAATAAAAATTTCTATTGAATGAAGAGCCTTAAAAAACAGTTAAAATCAGGCTTCAGTGTTTGGAAGTGTTGGTGTATTTCCTGTTTACTTTTACTCCTGGGGTCTAGCCCTATAAGGGTCCCAGCTGAAAACCTGGGGTGTTTCTTGGGGTCTATGTAGTTTTCTGGGGTAAAAGGTATTTGGGCTGCCAAGGTCGGGCTGTCCTAAGACTGCAGAGCAGTCTGCCCCCCCTCCCAGGCAGACCCTGGGGGGCCCCCCCAGCCTCAGCCCCTCGGCCTCAGTGTCTGCCCTTCTGCCCACAGCTCTGAAGGGGTCCTGGCAGAGTGGATTCTTCGACCAGGGCAGTTTCAAGGAGATCATGGCGCCCTGGGCCTCAACCGTGGTGACGGGGCGAGCAAGGTAACCCTGAGGACGGGGCGGGCAGCGCTCACCTGGCCTCACCAGGCACTGGGCCTCCCAGGTACCAGGACAAGGATTCTGTCCCCCACTGGGCGGCCCCTAGGGACACTTTCTTCTTGGCCCCAGGATTTTTCTGAAAAAACAAATGACAGTGGAGGGTGGGATGGTTTTCTGGATGATGAACTTCTTCATAAAGTCTGGATTTTTCTGTAGCCTTAGAAGACATCTCAGCCAACTTCTTGCTGCCCCTGGGGCAAGGCTCCCTAACCAGGGGGGCCACGGACCCCTTGGGGAATCAGAAGGCAGCCCTGGTACTCTCCGTCAGAACTGTAGATTTCATTTCAAGAGGGCCACGGGCAGGAACCCCGCTCGTATGCCATAGCTGGTGGAAGGCTTACATGCTTGAATGCTTTCACAGCCAAGCCACTCACTTCTCAGCGGCGTAGCCCTCATCTCTTTGGATAGATCCAGCTGCCCGGAAGTCCCCCTTATATGGAGCCCGAAGCGGCATCCTCCTCATTTACCACTGAGATTCCTGGCACGATGCAGTCGCGACAAGTCCAGGTTCTGGAGTTGGACCCGAGGTCAAGCCCCAGCTCTGTGACACACCCTCTTTGAGCCCCATCTGTAAAATGGGGATAATAATTCTACACCCCCCCAGGGTGGTTGTGATGATGAGAAGCGATAACATCTGTTAGGCACTTAAATTATCCTAAACGGTCCACAGTGCTACCATTGTTATTGTTACTTTTATTATTTACTCCCCAGGCAGTAAGTATTAAAATACTAAGCCTCATGTTGGCACTTAGTTGCTTTTCCGTGTTTTATTATTTTTTTAATTTAATATTTTTTTAAACCTGAGATGCAATCTACTCCTTTCACTTGAAAGCTCTTTATTTGAAGACTGAGCTCCCCAAATCTGCCTCATACAACTGCTAGGGGAGTGAATGAGGGTAATTCAAGGATGCACGTGGCTTGGGGCAGCCGTGGAATCCCCTTATCTGGAGCTCCTTCCAGCTCAGCATCCCTCCACCCCTTTCCAGACGTGACGTGGTGTCTGCACCCACACTGTCCAAGGTGGTAGCTGCTGACCACATGTGACGATTCAAATTCAAATGAATTACCGTGAAAGAGAGGCTGACCTGTTCAGTTCCTCAGCTGTCCCTGCCGCCTTTCAGGTGCTCACAGTGGCCACATGCAGCTGGCAGCTGCCATCCCGGACAGGCAGCAAGAGAACCTGGCCATCATCACAGAAGGTTCTAGGGAACAGTGCTGCTCCCATGCCTGCACTGGCCCGACGCTCCCCCACCAGCCATGGCGGCTGGGCACCCGAGGGACCTTTCCAGTCTGCTAGCTTGAGAGGCTCTTCACTGCTTAGGGGCTGCTGCCTTACCATCCAATACTGTTTTTTGGTACTCGCCGCTCTGTGCCCTCAGCCTGGCCAGTAGTGCCCACGTGCCCAGAATATCAGCCGGGGCCAGGTGGACCCAGCTGCCCCTCAACCTGCCTGGGGCGCTGCCCAGGGCCCTGGTTCACCTGCACTCCACCTCACAGGCTGGGGGGTATCCCCGTCGGGGTGATTGCCGTGGAGACACGAACAGTGGAGGTGGCTGTGCCCGCAGACCCCGCCAACCCGGATTCCGAGGCCAAGGTAAGGAGCCAGGGTGCTGGGGCTGCTGCTTTCATGATTTGTATTTTTTTTTTGAAGTATAGTTGATTTACAATATTACACTAATTTCAGGTGTGCAGCATAGTGATTCAGTATTTTTACAGATTATACTCCATTAAAAGTTATTATAAGATGACTATAATTTCCTGTGCTATACAATACATCCTTGTTGCTTATCTAATTTATACATTGTAGTTTGTATCCCATATGCCTAATGTGCCCCTCCAGCCTTCCCTCTCCCCTTTGGTAACCGCTAGTTTCTTTTCTGTATTTGTGAGTCTGTTTCTGTTTTGCATATACATTCATTTGTATCATTTTTTAGATTCCACATGTAAGTGATATTCTACTGTATTTGTCTTTCTCTGTCTGACTTATTTCACTAAGTATAGTATTCTCTAGGTCCATCCATGTTGCTGCAAATGGCAGCATTTTATTCTTTTTAATGGCTGAGTAGTATTCCATTGTGTGTGTGTGTGCGCACATGTGTGTACATATAGCACATCTTCCTCCATTCATTTGTTGATGGGCACTGGGGTTGCTTCCATATCTTGGCTGTTGTATATAGTGCTGCTGTGAACATTGGGGTGCCTATATCTTTTCAGATCAGTGTTTGGGGTTTTTTTGGATATATACCCAGGAGTGAAATTGCTGAATCTTATGGTAGTTCTGTTTTTAGTTTTTTGAGAAACCTCCATACTGTTCTCCATAGTGGCTGCACCAATTTGCATTCCCACCAACAGTGTACAAGGGTTCCCTCTTCTCCACATCCTCGCCAACACTGGCTATTTGTAGGCTTTTTGATGATGGCCATTCTGACAGGTGCGAGGTGATGCCTCACCGTGGTTTTGCTGGGGCTGCTGTTTTCGCTGGCTCAGCTGACAAGAGTGGGTCCTGGGTGGTCGCATGTCTGTCTTTCCAACTCAGAGACCCAGAGGGGTCCTTGGCCCCTGGGGGCCCGTGCCTGTCTGCAGAATGCATGATGTTCTGCATTGTCCTCCTCGTTCCTCAGGGGACGACAGGTCCCTAGAAATCTCTCCTGCCCCCATCGCTGTTGCTGTTCCTAGGGTGGGCCACGGCACATACTGGGAGGAGTGCAGATGTCAGAGGGCAGGTCCTGGGATCCCACTCACTGTGGCCTCCACCAGCTGGTCACCTGTCAACAGGCTGCAGGAACCTCCCTTGGCTGCAGCGTGAAGGTCAAGAGGGGCCCTGACAGCCGAGCTTCAGGCCCTCCCTGTGAGCCCTGGCTCTGGCATTGGTGCCAATATGGATCAGACTGCCTGCCCTCTGCAGTGTGAGTGGCTGTCCCTTGTCACGGGGCCACTCTGTCACAGAGGAGGCTGACCCTGGCCACTCTGTGTTCCAGGTGATCCAGCAGGCAGGCCAGGTGTGGCTCCCAGACTCGGCCTACAAGACGGCCCAGGCCATCAAGGATTTCAGCCGGGAGAACTTGCCCCTGATGATCTTTGCCAACTGGCGGGGGTTCTCGGGTGGCATGAAAGGTAAAGTGTCTTTCCTTGTGGGTGCCCTTAAGCCACGGGGTCAGCACCCAGGACAGCGCTCTCGGGGTGGCCACACCATTTTCCCTCTATGGTCCTGTCATCTTAGAAGAGCCCCCCAACCCTGAGGACAGGAGCCATTCAGGTAAGGCCACCCATTTTATAGATGAGGAGCTGAGCATTTCCAGTGTGACTTGCCGGAGGTTACACCGTGAGGAGCAGTGTAGGGAGGGACAGCCCCAGGAAGCTGCCAAGTCACCTGGGCCAGGGGAGGGTATAGCTCAATGGTAGAGCTCATGCTTAGCATGAACGAGGTCCCGGGTTCAATCCCCAGTACCTCCACTAAAAAAAAATAAGAGAAGGTGAGCCAAGTGACCTGTGCTGTCACCTTTCTGTGTGGTAAGATGAACAGAAGGCGCCTGCCCTCCTCAGGGGGCCGCTGTGAGCCTCAGTGACCTGACAGCTGTGCAAGTGCTTTGAAGCCACTGAGTATGGCTCGGTGTTGCAGGACGAGCCAGGCTGGGAACCGGCAGATCTGGTCTGAAACCCTGCTGGGCAGGTGACCTCTCCGAGCCTCAGTTTCCCTCCTCTGTGAAACGGGTAGGAATAGGACCAAACTGAGGGCCAAGATGAAGATTTACCGAGCCCATCACTGGCACGTGGTGTTCACTGTCGGTGTGATTACAGTGGATTTCATTATTGCACTATTGTTACCACATAGGGTGCCTGGTACCTGAAGGGACATGTCTTGGTGGAAAATGAGGGCCATGCTGCCTGTGGGCAGCAGGGATGGGACTGTGTTGTTGTTAGAAAGGTTCAGTGTGCCAGAAACAGTGGGACAGGACAGGGGCATCGCAGAATCAGAGCTGGAAGGAATCTTAGAGATGGCCCTATGCCTCCTCTTACAGATGGGGACACCGAGGCGCAGGCAGGGAGAGGGACCTGTCCAGGGTCACATGGGCGCTTAGGGAGCGATCTATGCCTGGACCAGCTCCTGCTTCCCTGCCCGGGGAGAGTCTTTTCATAGCATTGTGTAGCCTCCCAGCTGACCAGGCTCTCCCAGGACCCCCAGGACAGCTACGGTTGCAGACTGCGTGTGGACGAGGGCTGGGGCCTGAGGTCGCCTCACCAGGCGGCTGCCTTGCTTTGCAGACATGTACGACCAGGTGCTGAAATTTGGAGCCTACATCTTGGATGGCCTCCGGCAGTACAAACAGCCCATCCTGGTCTACATCCCGCCCTACGCGGAGCTCCGGGGAGGCTCTTGGGCAGTCATGGACACCACTATCAATCCACTGTGCATAGAAATGTACGCGGACAAAGAGAGCAGGTGGGTGTGTTGCCCCCAACTCCGCTTAGCCTTTTCTTGTTTTCACTCACAATCCCGAGGCCCCATCACCTTGGAGCCGCTGTCTGGGGATCGCAAGGGTGTTGTGAGTTTCTGAAGGGATGGAGAGCCTCCAGTTTTACCAATCTGAAACTAGCAGGGTGCAATTAGATTTTCTCCGTAGAATTAATGACTGGAGCCTGGAAGTGATGGAGGAATTGTTGTCTGTTCTTTTATAACTTATACTCATCTACTTCCTAGGGAGGGTTGCAGTCAAATAAGGAAAGAACAAAAGCACCTGAGCTTCCTGGCAGCCAGGATGAAAAGGGAAATGTGACCAGTTATCTAGTTCTTCTAGACTCTGAGTCATTCCCAAAGCGATCCTATCGGGGCTGTATTTTATTCAGTTTACAATGCAAGACTTAGTACAGTGCCTGACTCCTAGTGGGGGCTAGGGAAATACTGTCCAAACAAATGACTGGATGAATACTTGCCTGATAGGATATCAGTGCTTCAGGGAAGAGAAACCTGGGCCCTTTTTTTTTTTAATCAGGAATTTGTCCCAGGAACTCTTACAGAAAGGATAATGACAATAATCCTTGCCATTCAGTGTTTGAGTACCTTCAAAACGAAGACTCTGCTACATGCTGTGCAGGATGTAAAGGTCTCGAGAGTAGTTCTGCTCCAAGTGCGGACAGGCATTCTCTTCCTGTGCCTGCTCCCTTATTCATTCACTACTTCAGTGAATATTTACTGAGCACCTACTATGTCTCAGGCATTCTGTTAGGCATTGTGATACGGTGCAAATGAGCCAAAGCTCTCCTGCCTTCAGTGACCTGCTGAGGTCACCCCCAAAGGAAGACTCAGAACACAAGCAGCCTCAAATAGGGTCGTTCATTAACTTTTCACTCTGGCCACCAGGAGGCTCAGAGCTAAATCTGGGATTCCTCAGGGCTTCCAAACTATCAAAAGAAAAGGGAGCAGGGGGAGACTTTGGGGTGAGTGAGAGGGTTGGAAATGGGAGGGCCGCTCTTACCTTGGACTCCTAATTGTACCTTTGAGTATTTTAAGGAGATTGGAAACAGTACCCTGGCTCTAGGAGAGCAGAGAGTGGGCAAGTCAGAAAGGACTGTGGCTGAAGAGCTTGTGGGTTAGGCTGTTCTGAGAGAGTCACATGCCCTTAGAACTGAAAGGATCTTCCAGAGTTCAGAAAACTTTTTAAAAAATTGAATTATAGCTGATTTACAATATTGTGTTAGTTTCAGATGTACAGCAAAGTGATTGGATTATATATATATAGGTTATAATATATATGTTCTTTTAAAAAATTCTTTTCCATTATAGTTTATTACAGGATACTGAATATAGCCCTGTATAGCTATACAGTAGGACCTTTTTGTTTATCTGTTTTATATATAGTAGTGTGTATATGTTAATCCTATACTCCCAATTTATCCCTCCCCTGCTTTCCCCTTTGGTAACAGAAGTTTGTTTTCTATGTCTGTGAGTCTGTTTCTGTTTTGTAAATCAGTTCGTTTGTACTATTTTGTAGATTCCATACATAAATGGTATCATATAATATTTTCTTTGTCTGACTTACTTCACTTAGGATGATAATCTCTAGGTCCATCCATGTTGCTGCAAATGGCATTATTTCATTCTTTTTATGGCTGAGTAATATTCCATTGTATATATATACCACATCTTCTTTATCCCTTCAACTGCCTGTGGACATTTAGGTTGCTTCCATGTCTTAGCTATTGTAAATAGTACTGCTATGAACTTTGGGGTGCGTGTATCTTTTAGAATTAGAGTTTTCACCTTTTTCCAGATAGATGCCCAGGAGTGGGATTGCGGGATCATATGGTAACTCTATTTTTAGTTTTTTAAGGAGCCTCCATGCTGTAGAAAACTTTAAAAAGTTGGTTCAGTCCTTCATTTTGTGAATATAGATACAGATGACCAGAGGGGGGAAGTGACTTGCCAGAGTCACACAGTGAGTCCATGAAAGAGTTGAGAACTGACGCCAAATTTCCTGACTGTCCAGCCTCCACCCCACACCCCCAGCTGTCTCTTGCTGGGGGACACCTCGTTCACCAACCCCACTACTGTTGCTCTTCTCAGGGGGAATGTTCTAGAGCCGGAGGGAATAGTGGAGATCAAGTACCGGAAGAAAGATCTGATAAAGACCATGAGAAGGATTGACCCAACTTGCAAGAAGCTCGTGGAACAGCTCGGTGAGTGGGTCTGAAATGCGTTACCTCTCAGAGGTCAAGAGAGGCCCAGCCCTCACTGTTGCTGGAGGCTTCTAGGATGTTAAAGTGAGGACATACCAAAACACAACTACAAAACTCGCAAGATATTTTAAATGTTCACATATAGCGTATCAACCCCTTTATCATTAAAAAACATACACTAGGCCTGAGTGAATGTATTTTTCAGCACATACGAGGTATAACAATTGAAGTATTTTGGCCCAATAAGGAACATTAGAATATTGGCAGCAAAATGCCCCTGTAGAATTTTCCATCAGACATATTTTACCAATCTTGTTCGAGTGATAGCTTTGTTTCACTTGTAACTTCAGGTATAATTCTCTTTAAAATTCCATATTAAGTGGCAGTGTCTTTATGTTATTTACAAGATTGATGATGCTGGGAAATTTCTTCGGTCTGGTATCAGGGTAACACTGCTGTCATGGAGTGCGTTGGGACATGCTCCCTCCTATTTTGTGAGTTCGAATTGGCATTATTTCTTTAAATCCTTAATAGGGGGTTTCTAACTACAGATTCAACTTCTCTATAATATATAGGACTGTTCGGTTTACCTGTTTCCTCTTGGGTGAGCTTTCATAGTTTGTATATTTTAAGGAATTTGTCTGTTTCACCCAAATAATCGAATTGGCGTAGGCTTGTTTATAATATTCCCTGATTAGATTTTACAATATACTGTAGCCCCCCCGATTGTGTGAACAAAGGAACAAGTCTTGGGCTGGAATGGTAAACAAGTTATAAAACGCTGCAGACTCAAAGGTGAGAAGGCTGGTTAGCCAATGACGGGTAAGATCCCCAGAGGGGGGCAACCTAAGACAGGCACAGCCACCTGAGTCAGAAAGAATGTCACCAAGCAGCTGTTTTCCTGTATGTTCCGCCCTGATAAGATGGAAGGCTCACTGGCTCCATGACGAGTGTAGTCTATCAAAAAATCAAAGGATCTTAAGATCCTGACCTTAAAACAGTCCATGCGTCTAGGGAGTCATAAAAATGTCATACCATAGTTAAACATTTTCCGTATTTTTCTCTTTTGCTTTATAAGCCTGTGTAGTTTAATAAACTTTTAGAGTAGCCATCAGCTCTCTCCGCATACAGGGGGTGTGTGTACCTTGATATTGCGATGCCAACATATGCATTAAAAATGGTAACTGAAAGGGTCCCATAAGCACAGCGGGTCTGATGAAAGGGGATGAATTTAAAGCTGCACGTGGAATGCTGGCTTTACTTCTGGGCGCATTTCTGAGACGGCATGAGTGACTTGATCTCGGGGCGCTATCAGAGTTAAAGCTTAGGACCGTCTTTGCAAACCCTGGTTTGCGCCCTTGTCCACAGGAACGTCTGAGCTCTCAGACGAGGACCGCAAGGAGCTGGAGGGCCAGCTGAAGGCCCGGGAGGACCTGCTGCTGCCCATCTACCACGAGGTGGCGGTGCAGTTCGCCGACCTCCACGACAGGCCGGGCACTTTGCTGGAGAAGGGGCTCATTGCTGTAAGAGCCTGCAGCTGTGGGGTTGGTGTGGCTGGCCCATCCTAAGGTCACCTGGTTTCCAGCATAGGGAGGATACTTGGGCTCAGGGCTTTGGGATGGGTGGAATGCTACATGTTACAGTCACCTGGGGAGCTTTAAAAGCATCCTGGTGCCCGGGTGGCTCTCCAAGCCAATGAAATTGGAATATCTAGCGGTGGGAGCCAGGGGGTCAGTTTTTTGTTTTTGTTTTTTTTTCCAAATCCCTGAGAGATTGAAATAGGCAGTCAAGTTTGGGAACCACCAGTCTAACCTCTGTGTGTGTTTATAACCACTGGGCCCAATTTGGGAACCGCCGTTCCCACTCTGCATTCACCCATCACTGACATCACAACCCTGCCCTATTGCCTTGTCCCCAAGAGGACATCTCATCGGCATCTACTGCCCTGTGTCTGGGGCTCCTTCCCAGGGGGCCTGAGCCCTCCTTGCCTCTGATAAGCCTGTGTTCTGTGTCTGTGGGAGTAGAAGTGAGCACCAGGTTTGTGCCCAGAGGAGGCAGCCTAGAGACCTGGAAGTGTCCTGGCTCTGCTGCCTCCCCAGCAGGTGTCTTCACCTCTCCGAGCCTCAGCTTCCCGGCCTGTAAAATGGGAATGATCACAGAGCCTTCACCTAGCACAGGGCCCGGCCCCGCAGCATCCCAAGTCCCCTCCACCCTTTCTCGGGGCTCAGGCCTGGGGCTCTCGTCTGCAGGACATCCTGGATTGGAAAACCACACGCACCTTCTTGTACTGGCGCCTGCGCCGGCTGCTGCTGGAGAGCCAGGTCAAGCAGGAGATCCTGCAGGCCTGCAGTGAGCTCAGCCACGTGCACGTCCAGTCCATGCTACGCCGCTGGTTCGTGGAGACGGAGGGGGCCGTCAAGGTGGGCCTGGGGCAGAGACCGTGCCGGCAGGCAGCGGGCGCCTATGGGGGCAGAAGGGAGGTCCAGCAGCAGGATGCCTCTCTGATGCAGCCTCTGCCCCTCCCCAGGCCTACCTGTGGGACAACAACCAGATGGTGGTGCAGTGGCTGGAGCAGCACTGGCAGGTGGAGGACGGGCTGCACTCCACCATCCGCGAGAACATCAAGTATTTGAAGCGGGATTCTGCCCTCAAGACCATCCGAGGGTGAGTGGCCACCCCACAGGCCTGTCCACCTCTGGGGCTTGTCAGCCAGCACCGGAACCAGGATTCACCTCCAGCTGCCTGACCCCAGAGTGGCCTCTTGGCCCCCAACTAGTGGTCCACAGTCCAGCCCCCCAGCAAAGAGGCCACAGCTCCCCATTGCCCGGTCTCCTGGCACCGAGTCCTGGGGATGCTCTAAGGAGGGTGCCTGATGATTTCAGTGCACGAGCCTTGTTGGAATAAATAGGGCGACTGGTCCAAGGTCACGGTTAGAGCATGTTTGGTTAGAGAACCCACATTCCAAACTCCTCGGCCTTAGGCTGCCTTCTCCTACTTGGTATCAGCCTTCCCGGAGGGTCTGCTCCCTGTGTTCCGTGGTGTTAGGCAGTAGAGCATGTAGGACCCTATTGGGGGAGGAAGCTTAGATTCGGGGGAAGTGCTGTATCTCAGGTGACACAGCTTGTGACCCATAGGGTCACCTGTCATTCTTTGAGGTGTTCTGATCCTCAGGGCCATCTTCCCTCCTGCCCCTATGGGACCGTCACCCCCCACAGTGACCACAGCAGGGAGAAAGTTGGGAGCTCTGGGGGGTTGCCCATCCTGGAATGGGACTTGGTCCAGCATGGGGATCCAGGGCTGCCATCGAGCCTGCTGAACTCAGTGGCAGGCATGACCGCACCCTTCTCTCCCTCCCCTGCAGCCTGGTTCAAGAAAACCCCGAGGTGGCCATGGACTCCCTGATGTACATAAGCCAGCACATCAGCCCAGCCGAGCGGGCACAGGTCGTTCACCTCTTGTCCACCATGGACAGCCCGGCCACCTCCTGACTCTGTTCCTCGCGGTCACTCGCAGGACCACAGGCAAGAGAAACCACACTGATCCATCAACCGCGGTCCTTCGCCAGGACCTTGGGGGTTTGGTTTTTAAAATTCCTGAGTGTTGCTACAAGGCTGCTGACCCCAGACTCACTCCTATTTCAATAAAAGGCTCAGGAGTGCCCCTCTTCCAAGCAGAAATCGCCTTCTCTTCATTGCCAGGAAGTCCGTTTGGTTTTGTCTCTTAAGGCATTTTGCTGCATCACTGAATCGAATTGAGCCCAAACACCCCAGTTTCCTTCTGCTGCTTCGTGCCTGCAGTGCAGGACCCAGATGTTCTTTCAGGCTCATTTTGTATCAGATCATGGAATCTTGGGGATTTTTTTGTTTGCTTTTGTTTTTTAACTCCAAGATCAGCTCTTTATGTAAGCATCTTGTAGATTTCAGCAGCACAACACAGGAAGAGAAATAGAGGCGAGGCCAGAGAAAGCGTATTTTTGTAACAATGCTTATTTGAATTCTATTGAGTCACTTGGAAAAGGGTATAAATGATTTTTTTTTATTAAGAGCATAAAATGGTATTTTCTTCCCCAAATGGGTCCTAGTGAATCATTAGGAGTGTCCCATTAACAGGCCTGGCTTGGTTCTCTCTTTAGCAGAGAATTGTGTGGCCTTGGGCTCAGGGGCACTGGGAGACTTCTTTTACGTGGTGCAGAGCTCTCTGCCTGCCCCTTCCCTCCGAGGAGACAGGGATGAGCCCCCAACCCCGGTGTGCACCCTCCTGCCCGGGTTGGGAGGACAGAGAACAGAGGGAGAGCCTTCACCAGACTCAGCCCAGCTTGCTCACGAACGTCACCACTGTGATTGCCATCCCTCCCCTCAGAGGGTCCCTGCGAATCGCCTTCACTCCCTTACCTCTTGAGTCGATGTCCATGGCGGGTTCCAGCCCCAAAGGACAGAGCTGTTGGTTCCCGAGGACTGGACCACGAGGACCAGTCTGATTCACTCAGGGAGTTCTTTGCAGTGCATCTGCCAGCACCTGACTCTGAAGTCCGCACAGCATCAGGGCCTGTGATCCTCCTGGCCCCGTCCACCTGTCCCTGGGTGCCAGTGATGGGGGAGTTGGCCACCCCTCCACTGCTGTGATGGGCAGTTTGTCTGAGGACACCAAATTTTATACCTAGCCAACTTGGAGGCCAGCGAGGTTGTCTGGGGAAGCCCCTTCAAGCTGGGATGCTGGAGGGTGCTTGAAGCCATCAGCCAGTGACAACCCTGGCCTGAAGGTGGTGTAGGGCAGCGAAGTGGGGGAGAAAGACACATTAGCTGTTGTCCTGTCCCGAGGCAGATAGGGGCAGGGAAGAATCCACGTTGCTTTGGGAAGCAAATGCTTGCCGTGTGGGGGAGGCCCCGTTGGTTTGGCAGGGACGATAAGGCAATGGCTAGCTGCCACCCAGGAACAGTGGGCGGAGAACCTACCAGGAAGTGTGTGGAATAGATTATTTTTTGAAGGAAGCACTTTGGCCTTGACTTACTATCTGGACCAGAAGAGGCAGGCCGCATCCCCGGGTTGATTCTCCAGCACTCACCATCCTACTACAACTGCTGAGATCTTGCGCAAGCCCGCATCTTGGGAGGACGAAGCTCTGATGTGAGTTTCTATCCCGAAGGCCACTGGTGGACCACTTCATCCTTGCAGCTTGGTTTCCATCATGGACACACGCTGCTGTCTGCCGGCTGGTGATGCTGAGTTCAACTGAATGAACCTTCCCTGTCAAGGCCAACTTCCCTCCCTTAGGAGACTGAGCACAGCCTCCAGGGAGGCAAGAAAGGCTCAGATCACTGTGTATAGATGGAGGCCTGGGCTGGCAGCTGGGTCTGAGCTGAATGCTCAAAGTGGTGGCCACTGGCTACCTGCAGTGCCCTGGCCTCATGCCACAGCATCCTCTGGGCCTTTGTGATGGATGCAACAAGTCTGTCCTCATTTTTATAAACCCCGGCTCAGAGATGAGCAGACTTGTCCAAGGTCACACAGCTGGCAAGAGGTGGGGCCCGGCTGACTCAGACCCAGTCTTACTGCATTTTATGCGGTCCCAGAAATCCTTTTTGAGGGTTTTATTGTGACCCATGAGAACACCACCTGGACCAGGTTCTTACTCAGATCCTCATTGAGAACCTTGAGTATCGTGTGCCCGCCCTCACACCGGTAAGCAAGCTGCCCTCTCTAGTTCCACTCAAGCCTCTCCCTCCCTGGATTGGCAGATTCTGGAGCCCCTAAACCACTCGGATGAACCCTGTGTCCTTGCATGAACAGCAGGCCCGTCCACGTCACAGAAGTGGGGTGCTCCCACACTTGCCTCCTGACCCCCGCTGGCATCATCCCAACTTCTGCCCCTTTCTTTAGCCGCCCCACTGAATTCTCTTCCTCAGCTCCAAAACTTAGTTGGCCCTTTACTCCAAGGTGATTTTTTTCCCTGACGCTGTATCATGAAAATCTTCCACACTCCAAGAAGTTGAGTTATTTACCAGTGACCCACCACCGGATGCATTCTTTTCCTGGGCTGGTCCTCACTTTACCACCCATCTGTCCATCTAGCCACCCCTCTCTCAATCTGTCAAGCTGTCTTGTTTCAACACATTTCAGAGTAAATTGCCAACATTTGTGCACTGCTCTGGGGTTATTTTTGCATTTCAAAATCAGCTTTTTCCTCTAAATCACTGAATTTTCCTACAGCCCCGGGTACGTGGAGAACAGCAAAGCTGTACTTTGATGCAGCGGCTGGATGTGTGGCTAGCAAGGGCATCTCTGGCCTCGCCGTGCACGTGACCCCAGCCTGGAATTTACATCAGCTATTTACTGAGCGCGTGCTACGTGCCAAGCACTGGATCGAGGGTCCAGCTGTGAGCCAGGCAGCCCACTCCTGCCCTTGGGGAGCTCACATCTGAGGTCCCCAACAGGTAGAAATTGCAAGAGGTTAATCACAAGGGGACCGTCAGGGTCATGACGAGTTAGAAGAGTGTTAAGTCCACAAATGCCCAGGGGCCTTTGTATTTTAAGGTCTTCTTTCTTTCAGAGACAGGTCCCCATTTCAGGGTCACTGTGATAGGAAAGCAAGAGAGAGGAAGACTTGAACCAGCCATACAGACCACAGAAAGGCTCCCCGAATGATGACCGTGCTCAGGAAAGTCTGCCTCTCTATGGCTTCCGCTGGCTCAGCCAGTGTGGGCAAACCCAGCCTCTCATTGCCATTGGCCATGCAGCTGACACCCCATACCCAGGCTCTCTGCCAATAGTCTGCCCTCCATGATGCTCCCTCTGCTGAGCAGCCACGGGGTCTTTCCAAGATGCCCCTTTCCTGCTCCAAGTGCCCATGGGACAAAGTTCTCAATGATCTCAAAAGGCCTGGTGTGAGCCAGTCCCGGCCCCTCCCTCCCTCCGTCCGTCCGTCCGTCCGTCCGTCCGTCCCACCCACTGTGTCATCATCACTCACCAACCAGACCCGGCTGTCAATTCCCCTCTTCACCTCCAGGTGAGCACAGGCTGTTTCTCCTGCCAGAAACACTCTTCCCCCATGGCTGTGGCCTGGCTGACTCCTATTCATCCCTCAAAACCCAACTCATATGGTGCCGCCTCTGGGCAGCCTGCCCCGGCTGCCTCTTCAGTGAGTAGGGAATTCCTTCTCTGTGGTCCCACTTGTGGGAAAATGTGTTACAGCTCAGTGTTACATCAACCTGGATCAGGGCGAGAGACCAAGCAGCACTCAGTTGGAGAACTCATATTTATTACACCAGCAGGCTCAGAAGAGTTAACACTTCAAGCTCTGGACCCCGTCCGTAGGTTTACACAGGCCTTTTACAGGCTGCCAGTTTTACACTTTGTAACATCATATGCAAATAAAGTACAACAGAAGTTGACCAACCAGGAACAAGCTTTGTAGAAATAGACCAATCAGGAGTGAGCTCCTTGCAAATGAAGTACTACAAATAGGCCAATCAGAAGTTAGGGAAGTGGACCAATCAGAAGTGAGAATAATAACCAATCAGAAGTGAGAGTAATAACCAATCAGGAGTGAGAATAATAACCAATCAGGAGTGAGCTCAGGGAACCAATAGAATTGTAGGTGTAAGTTAGCTGCTTTAGAGGCAAAAAGTGAGATAAAGCCTCTGGGCCAGGGAACCGGATGGTGCTAAGAGGAGAGCAGCAGCCCTGCCTAGGGGTCCTGCTGGTCTTTTTATGGGGCTTCCTGCTTCACCACCACCCTCTTTTGTGCAATATATATAAAATATGGGTTTACAAATGAACTATATACGTAGGGATCCCTAGGTCCCTCTGGCTGCTGAGTTGAGGATGGATTTTGGAGAGCAGCGTATTTGCAGAGAGGTGGTCCCCTTCTAGAAGGCGAGGTGAGAGCCTAGCGATGTTCTGTGTCTTGTGCTACCCTGTCCTGTGTGGTACATCTCCGAGCAGCACCGTGTGTGCAGGAAAGAGGCCAAAATCCTAGAAGTAACTTTTCCTATTTTATTTTTATTGTGGTAAAATACACACAGTGTAAAATTTACCATTTTAACCAGTCTCAAGTGCAGTTTAACAGATTCAGTATTCACATAGTTGTGCAACCCTCATCACCGTCCGTCTCCAGAACATTTTCTTCACCTCAGACTGAAACCCTGTCCCGTTTAAACACTGACTCCTCATCCCCGTCCCTGAGCCCTTGGCAGCTGCCAGCTGCTTTCTGTCTACGAATTTGGCTACTCCAGGTGTCCTGCAGAAGTAGAATCATACAGTAGTTGTCTTTTTGTGACTGGCTTATTTCACTTAGTTTAGTTTCCTAAAGGTTCATCTATGTTGTAGCACGTGTCAGAATTTGCTCCCTTTTTGAGGCTGAAGAGTATTGCTGTATGTATAGATATTTCGTTTATCCATCATCGATCGATGAGCACTTGGGTTGCCTCCCCCTTTTGGCTGCTGTGAATCGTGCCGCTATGAGCCTGGATGTACAAGTATCTGTTCGCGTCTCTGCTTTCACTTTTTTGTTTGGGTATAAACCCCGAGGTATGAGGAGGGAGGGTGCAGCTCAAGCAGTAGAGCGCATGCTTAGCATGCTCGAGGTCAGGTCCTGGGTTCAATCCCCGGCACCTCCTCTAAAAATAAATATGTAAACTTAATTACCTGCCCCAACTCCCGCCAAAAACAAAACAAAACAAACAAAAAATAAACCCTGAGGTGCAGTTGCTAGGTCATATGGCAGTTCTGTGGATACGTTTTTGGAGAACAGTCCTCATTCCCTTGGGGCTGCACCATTTTACATTCCATCAGGGCACAAGGGTTCTGGTTTTTCACATCCTCATTAACATGTGTTGTTTTCTGTCTCTCTCTTTTTTTTTTTATGATACTTATCCTGTTGGGTGGAGCCTAGAAGTAATTTTAACTCAGTAGACATTGACCCTTTTTACTTGCAGCCCTCAAACCTTGTGGACAGGATATGCCAGACACCTTCTGGCCCCTACCTGGGGAGCCTCTAAATTCCTAATTCCTCTGCCTCCCGTGTCTGTCGCTCACTCTGCTGGTCCTGTTCTGGTTGCCCTGCCTCCCTTCCCTTCTTCCAATGCAGTTTCCCAAGTGTCAGCTGCCAATTTGATCTTTGTCCTGCTGCCCCTGGACTCGGGGGGGCTGTGATACTGAGATGGGAGGTTCAGTGTCGTACCCAGAGGAAGAACGTTGTCGGTACAGCCAGCATCATACAGAGGCACCACCTCATCTCCTACTTCTGACCTTACGTCTTACCCCTTCCCCTAAACCTCCACCATCTTCAGGAGCAAACACTACACCAGGCAGCGTGGGGCCGCGGAACGGGCCAGGATTGCTGCAGACCTGGGGTTAAATCCCAGCTGTGCAAAATCAGAGCTTTTGCTCCTTTTAAAACCAGCAAGCGGACAATGTCAGCCAGCTCTCTGAGACTGACAATCTACTGGGGAAGCAGAACCCTGCTGGAGTCCATCTCTACGCCTTCCTTCTCGCAGGTAAGCTACTCTGTCTCAGCCTGTTTCCTTCTCTGTGAAGTGGGGATGTGTTTGTTTTTTTGTGGCTCCTGTAATAATGAGCACAAACTCAATGGCTTTAAGACAACACAGGTTTATTCTCTTACAGTTCAGGAGGTCAGAAGTCTGAAATAGGTCTCACTGGGCTAAAACCAGGATGCTGGCAGGGCTTCAGATTTTCTGGAAAGTCTAAGGGAGAATCCATTTTCTTGTTTTTAGAGGCCACATTCCGTCTTCAGAGCTGACACCAACCTCCCTCTTTCCTTATCAGGAGGCTGTGATGACATTGGGCCCACCTGGCTCATCCAGGATGCTCTCCTGGTCTTAAGGGGAGCTGATTAGCAACATTAATTCCTTAATTACTGTTGCCAGGTAACATAAAGTCACAGGTGCTGGGGATTAGGACATGGCTGCCTTCGGGGGCCATTATTCTGCCCACCACAGGGGCTGACAGCTTTACCCCATGGGGAGTAGGGAGAAGAAATAAGATATACTGTGTCGTGGTGCACGGAGCATGTGGACTAAGCCCCCTGTACTCATTGGCTGGTTTTGCTTGTTTTGTTGTTAGACTTTGGGTGATTTCTCCCGGAGGCAGGAGAAAACCTGCATGATCACGATCTGAGAGCTCAGTGTTCTCATCTGGTAAATGGGCCCATCCCCCTGGCTGGGTGGGCGGTTGTGCTGTTTCAGGGAGAGGCTGCCGGGTGAGCGTTTAACTCCGTGATGCACATGGCAGGTGCTCAAAGTGGCAAGGAGAATTTTTCTCCCGTTACTTGGCTAACTGCAGAGAGACCGTCAAGGAAGCCTGATTGCTCTGGTCTCTCTCCCATGCTTTCTTCTGGTGTCGGCGTGGTCCCTGCACCGGTGGGGCTCTGGCTGTGGCCAGGGCTTTTACCCAGAGCCTGTGACCTTGGCATTTTGGCCTGACTCTGTGTGTACCTGGTCCTACTTGCCTGTGGTCAGGAATGGATGTCAGACTCCAGAAAGAGAACCCCAGCCCTCTCCATGTGGTGACGCTGCGTCCTGAGGCGCCGCCCTCCCTGCTTAGCACCCCAGCTCTCAGCGTCTACAGAGCCCCCGGGTGATGCTCATCGGCTGTGACCAACATGGCCTGGGTCACTTGCCTCCTCAACCCCAACCAGTCACTGGGGGTGCCTGGGGGTTCTGATGCGCTCATTGGCCAGGCCTGAGTCACAGGGTCACCTGGAGCCAAGCTGAGGAAGAGGGGTGCTGAGGAGAGAAAGGCAGCCCAGGGCCGCTGCAGGCACCCCCTCCCTGCCACCTGCCTGTTCTCCTCTAGTTGGGGCCACGTTCAGCACTTCCCGATACCACCCCCAGCCCCATCAGCCCCGGCCCTCCTTACTTGCTAAGCGTCGCATGTGTGTGTCTGGTCTCCCCAGTGAGGCTGCAAGCTCCTTCCTGGGTGGGCTTAAGAGTTTGACAGACTCCTCATTAATACACCCTTTTGCTATTATCTTGGGTGGCAAGTCGCCTCCTTTAGTCCTTTGAGCCTCAGTTTCTCCATCTGTAAAATGGGTGTAATAACTACTAAGCCACGCGTCTTAGGGTTGTAATGAGGATTGAAGGAGCTAATTTACACTTGTGAGTCGCAGGGCCTGGTGCTGAAAAGGGTGCACCTCCTCCCACCTTGCTACCTGCTCTGACCCAGGCAAGCACCAAAGGGCAGCTCCAAGGAGCATCGCTGAGCTCGGGCTCTGGAGCCTGGCACACACAGACTCGGTCCTGCCTTTCCCCTGGACCCCAGGTCCTGCCCCACCTCTCTGAGCCTACGCCTTCTGAGCAATAAGCGGGGTTCACATCCCTACCTGAGCAAATGCCCATCCAGAGCCTGGCACCGAGGGACAGTGACAGGCGGTCATGCTTATTTTGCTGATAGTGACAAAGTCCTCCCCAGTGTCTGGCACAATGGGAACCTGGCATCAGAAGACCTGGCTTCAGGGTCGCCTCTCTGGGCCTCGGTTTCCCCATCTGTAAATGGGGTCTCTGCTGTGAGGGGTGCGTGGGTGGCACTGTCGTCCTTTAGCTCCATTCACCCCACCCTCTGAGCCACAGAGCTGCCGTTCGGCCTTTATTGACAGAAGACAGTCCTCCCACACTACGTTACATGGTCTCGGCGTCGCCCCAACGCTGGTCTTCACGAACAATGACCCAAATATCTCAGCCTCCCGGGGGTCACATCACACAAGGCATCTGAGCAGTGCTGGTTGGATGGGCAGCACTGGGCTGTGTGTCACAATGGTGATGCTCGGCAGAAAGTTCCAGAGTTAGGAAGAAATTCAAGATGGTCCTTCAAGACAGGCCTGAATGCCAAAACTCGCAGGTGGCTGGCTGCCCTGTTGATTAATCAGAAAATCCTGGCTCTGGGTTTGGGCGCCCGCAGGCGTAGGAACCAGACATCCAGTTGGTCAGGAGAGGACAATGGTATATAAGCCACCGCTGTAGTTTTCTGTCTCAACTTAGCTGGACGGTCCCTAGTTAATGCCTCTTTTCCCAGCCTGCTCACCGAGGTCCCCACTAACCCGACTGTCTGCAGAACCCGCCACTTGGAAAGTCAGTCACTGGCAACTAATGGGGGAAAAGACATAAGCAAGGTCATGGGGCAATGAGACAGGCCACCAGGTGCCCATTAATACTCTGCATCGCGGCTTCCTCAGCCCGAGCTCACTGCGTGGCTCAAGTGTTACCTGGTTCACAGTTGACTTTCTTACCATCGGGAGTGTCTTAAAGTCTAGAACAACCCTTCCCCCCACCACCCCTCCATTCCCACCCTGATTTGAAGCCCCCAGAACTCAAAACTCTGGTGCCTCTCCTCTTAGGGGCACATGGCAAGAGATTCAAATCATGGCTGAACAGTTGCAAAAATACTTGGTCTCTAATTGTTGAAAAATAGGATATTTCCCAGTATCAACAGTGCTTGTTTGCTCTAGAAACCAGCCCCAAGCTGCAAAGGGCTGAGCAGCTAGTTGGAGACGTGACTGATGGATAATTTGGGGCGTTAGGATTGCCAGGATCCGGGAGGGACCACGGCATCTCGTTCCAGGGGCCACGGGCTGGGTTGGAAGAGGTGGTGTGGGTGGGATCCAATAAATATAAATAAAAGTACACAGAGTCACTGTGCCCGGCGTGGCCCAGGGACTTGCTCTAGGAAACCCTAGCAGACTACGGGAGAAGGGGGCCTGGAGGCCGGCGGGGCGGGTGCCCGTTTCAGAGGTCAACCTGCTCTGGTCTAAGAGAATTTTGACAGTCAGCCAGCCCCACTCCCCAGCCTCAGGGCCTGTCTGCTGGTGGCTGAGACAGGTGTTTCATCCCATAAGAATAAATTACAGGCCTTCCCGCTGGGCGTTTCTGTGGTGCACCAGTGTGTCCCAAAGTGGGCTGCAGGTGGTCTCAGGAGCCAGCAGGGAAGCAAGCTAGAGCAAACCTGTTCTCAGCATGACCAGCCCTCAGAGGAGTGTCAGGGAGATGGGGGAGGCCAGGATGCTTGTCCACTCTCCTCTGTCCTTCTGACTTGGAGAGGCTCCAGAAGCTTCCCGGGGAGGTGAGGTTCAGCCAGCAGCCTCACCAAACATCCAGAGGCCTGTGGAAGGGTGAGAGGCCTTTCTTCCAGGAGCACCTGGCTTAGTGAGCGTCCTTCTGGGGCCCAGGTCCTGGGGCAGGTGAGGCCGTCAGCTCAAAGCAGGGCTATGGGCTTGTTCCCCGGGGTGCCCAGGTACTGAGAGGAGGAGGTGGCGGCTGACGCGGCCATGCTGTCCGGGGTCGAGTACGCGGCGTAGAGACCAGTCACTTGCAGGTCTGGGAAGGACTGGTCGCTGCCTCCGGAGACAGGGGTCAGGCCCGAGGGCCCCAGCTCACAGCCAAGTGGGGAGTCTCCGAAGGCCCCCAGCGTGTCCAGGCTGAAGCCCTCATCCTTCATCTCCTCCCAGAGGTTCCCTTTCAAAGACAAGAGCATGTGGGTGAGCTGGCTTCATGTCAGACAGACCCGAGTTCGAATCTTGTCTTAAGAGGCAAAGACCAAGTGTGGGCTTAAAGTCATGTGTTTCAGGGCCACATGGAGGAGCCAGAGTGCCAGCCCTGTCCCTTCCCTCCCCACTGGGTGTCCCCGGGAAAGTCACTTCCGTCTCGGAACCTCAGGCTGCTGGGAATGAAATCAGGTAATCAGAGACTCCACCTCCTTGGACCAGAGGCTTAAACAAGGGGATGTGTGGGAAGCACTTAGCCCCCGTTAAGCGGTATCATCACGGTCAAAGCCAAGGTTTCCTCGGCATGTTTTATTTGCACAATAATCCAGGGGGAGAGGCAGGGTGGTTCAGACATACCCATATCATAACTAACTTACTGACTTGCTCACTAGCTGACCTGCTAACTTGTCCTTTTCCCTCACTAGTCATGGAACTCCTTGAAGGCAGACGATTTCTCGGCCGTTGGCCGGCACATAGTAGGTGCACAGGTGTGGGGGAATGGATGGGCCCTGAGCCTTCACTGAAGGCTAACTTCCCTTGTCCATTCATTCATCCATCCATTCATTCATTCATTCCCCGTGTAGTGAGAATGACCACGTGGCAGGCAGTGGGTCAGAGTGTGACCTGGCATGAGGTTGGCCTGTGCCAGTTGAGGCAGTTACTAGTTGAAAGACTGAGGTCAGAGAGACCTGGGTTGAAATCTCGGCTCTGCCACTTACTAGCCGGGCAGCCTCAGGCCAGTGACTTCTCTTTGCGTCGGTTTCCTCATTGGCAGAATGGGGACAGGAAATGGTAGTGACCTCCCGGGACTGTTGCCAGCTGAGATGGGCTGATGCCTCTGAAGTGCTTGGCACAAGGCCTTGCATACAGTCAGCGCTCATTAAATGCTTGCTGTAATTCGCTATGATTAGGTCGTTGGGAAGTGTTCGTTGAAGGAACAAACTGTGGGGTAAATGCAGGCAGTCCCCCTCTTCCTTGTCCTCCTCGATCTTTCTTGCCCCCCCCAGTCTACCTGTACCCCTCTGTTCCCATCAGCCCCTCCTCCAGCCTCACCCTGCAGAGCGAAGTCCATGATGCTGGGGTCCAGGGCGTCCACTTCAGTGTTCATGTCAGTGCTGATGTTGAGGAAGTCCACTGGAGCCCTTCCCATGGCGGGGTTGGGGAGGGGGCTGGGGCTCAGGTCCGGCAGGGCATGCAGGGGTGGGGTCTGGGCCGGGGCGGGAGAGTCTGGGGCAAGATGTGCCTGGGGCTGGACCTGGTGGTGCAGGGGGACTGATTGCAGGGACAAGGTCATCAGTGGCTGGGGTGGGAGCTGGGAGACGGCCAGACAGCTGTGGGCCATGGCCACCGTGGTGGCATGGGTCAGCACGGGGGCCTCAGGCTCCCCTGGCTTGCCGGAGCGTCGGCAGCTTTCTGGCCGGTCCGAGATCAGCTTGTCCAGCTCCTCTGCAGGCAAATGGGAGAGGTCACTCAGCAGAAGCCACCCTACAGTTCCTGGCCTGGATTCAAATCCCAGTGTTACCACCTGTGTGATTTTAGCAGCCCTCTTGGACTCTCTGAACCTCAGTCTCTTCATCTCCGAGATGGCACACACACTTTACATAAGGTTGTGGAAATGTAATGAAATCACAAATGATGTAGGGACTTTATGGAATGAGAGGAGCCTCAGAAGACACTGGCTCCTCTCATTGGGACAGCACCTCATAGGACAATCCTGTGACCTAGAACTTTACTTAAACCTCATAACAGCCCTACAAGAGGGAGATAAGGCAGAGATTACAAATTCCACCAGCCTGGGACAAAAGTTATTAACACACATGGGGCCCTTGCCACTCCCTGCTACTAAAGAGACATGAAGAAGCATCACTGGATTAGAAATTGGATCCTCCTTCATGCTCTTGGATATAAACAAGACTGAAATTACTCTTAAATTATTTTTGATGGTTGGCTTGTATCTCATGGACTGTAACACAGATTTGAGACTGGACCACTAGGCTCCCAGGATCTATTTGGGTTGCACCCATTTTAGAAGCAAGGATACTTAGAATCTAGAAGGTGAAACTGCCTGCCCAGGATCTAAGTATGTGTCAGGATGGGCCCTGGGTCTCAAGTCGAACCCCAGAGCTTTCCATGGGGTGGGCATCATGCTGTACCCCCTCAGCGGAGGGCCTCCCTGGATCCTGCTACGTTCCTTCTCTTTCTCATTGAATTGTTCCACAGACCCAAACCTCAAGCACCCAGATAGCCATAGGGCCAGGCCAAATATCCCTAAGGCTGGGTGGGATCAGCCTTCCATGTCCCTCTCTCCATTCATGTGTCACTTGTCTGTCCTCTGCTTCACATCTCTTAATTAAAAAAAAAAAGGTGCAGCATTTTATTCTAATATAAAAGTAATTCATGAACAGGGTAGAAAATTTGGAATGTAGAGGTCATGTGAAGAATATGAACATTATCAGCGGTCTCCATTCACAGTAAAGATTTGTTTCTTCTAGTCTGTGTGTGTGCATGTGTGTATATGTGCAAGTGTGTGTGTATATATTTATAGATTTATACGTGTGTGTATATGTGTATGTATATATACATACACACACTATACATAGAGATGAGTGTGGATATAAATGCATCTTAAAATGTGATCATGCTGTGTGTGTAGATGCATAAGCTGCCTTTTTCCACTTATTGTATTGGGATCATTTCTTTATGCTCCAAAAATAGTTTATCTCTAATGCTTGCACGGCATAACATTTATATCTATTTAAATAATCCCCTAGGTTGCTTTCAATTTTTTGCTATTCAAAATAACTTCATGATGGATAACTTTGTTCATACACCTTTTGCTCCAATCTTTGATGTCTTCTGCATAAACGGCCAGAAGTAGAGTAAGTGGACCAAACTGGGGGACCAAGTTTGCAGGATTTTGATAGATTCCTTTGCCCTGGAGAAGTTTCACCGCTGATGTTCCCACCCATTGTGCAGGATGATGCCTATTTCTCCACATCCTAGCCCACACTGGGTGTTATTGTTTTATTATTTTTGGAATCTGCACCAACATGGTCAGGCTTTCCCATGGTGGTTTCGTTCGGAATTTCTAGGGAAGAAACCAGGATTGTTAGTGAGATTCAATAGCTTTCCGTATGTTTCTGACCAGACCCTTCAACTGACTGGGAAGGGGAGGGGAGGAGAGGTGTATTTCACAGTGGGAAAGGGGGACGGTCACCAGGCAGAGCTGGGCGTGTGTGTGTGTGTGTGTGTGTGTGTGTGTGTGTGGTCGGGCGCCCGGCCTCACCGGGTTGGCCATGCTCCGGTGGATGGCGGCCAGGTCCTTCCTCTTCCATTTGTACATCTCCTCCTCCATCTTGTCGATGCGGGCCAGGTTCAGGGCCCACAGGCAGCCCTTGCGCGAGGAGCCACCTGTCTTGTTCTCCACCTTCTCGAAGCACTTGTTCAGGGACAGATTGTGCCGCACTGAGTTCTTCCAGCCGTCGGGCGCCGTCTATGGGGAGAAATGGGCACGTGGGGGACCCCCTGCAGGGATGTCCCTCTAAACCTTCTCCCTCCCGGGGGATCTCAGCCTCAGGCCTGGAGGGGCAGGGGGAGAATGTCAGTGTCCAACACTCAACCTCGAGCTGGGAAGACAAGAGAGAGTGGTGGGGATTGTGGCACGTGGAGGGTGGCGAGGAGGGGAGTGCACCCTGATTAAAGGGGCCGCCACACTCAGCTCTAGGCAATGGTTACCACACAAGGACCAGGCCCAGGGCTGCTGGATCTCTCACCCTCTCTCCTACTCAGGAAGGAAGCAAATGGTGATACTTGGATACTGGGTAACTGGTCGAGTATATTAAATGCTGATCATTTTTTCCTTGTTGATACAATTTTCTGTTTTTTTTTTAAGTATAGTTGATTTACAATGTGTTAGTTTCTGGTGTACAGCACAGTGACTCAGTTCATATATATATATACACATACACACATATACATATATACATATGTATACATATATGTATACATATATATATACTTTTTCAGATTATTTTCCATTATAGTTTATTACAGGATATTGAACATAGTTCCCTGTGCTATACAGTAGGACTTTGTTGTTTATCTATTTTATATAGAGTAGTTTGTATCTGCTAATTCCGAACTCCTAATTTATCCCTCCCCCCTCCCTTTCGCCTTTGGTAACTAGATATATTTCCTATGTCTGTGAGTCTGTTTCTGTTTTGTAAATAAGTTCATTTGTATTATTTTTTAGATTCCACATAAAAGTGGTATCGTATGATATTTGTCTTCCTCTGTCTGACTTACTTCACTCAGTATGATAATCTCTAGGTCCTTCCGTGTTGCTGCAGATATAAAAACCAATCATTTTTAAATGCTCAGACTTTGTTGTTAGGTAACCAGATACTGCCGCGCATCTCATGCCCTATTCATTTCATTCTGTCTCTCTCAGACACACACACACACACACACACCACTGTGCTGCAACATTTCTGCTAAGGACACTGTCCAGGCCAGGGACCCCCGTACAGCTTGGTACTCTGTGATCACCGTCGCCTTTTTCCTCTTTGATGCCAACAAGGATAACATTACTAATGGCCAACCAGGTGCCAGGAGCTGCCAGCGCCTTTACATGTGGATCCTCACTAACCTTGCCAGCTGGCTGGGCATTCTCCCCATCTTACAGAGAAGGAAGCTGAGGCTCAGAGCGGTGAAGGTTCTTGCCGGGTCTGTTTTGCATCATTATATTTTACTGAGTCTGTGCTGAATAACTAGGTTGGCCCTCTATCCTTTGCCCCCTGAGATACTTGGTGAACTCCTCTTCATCCGTCAGAGCCCAGCTCAAATGTCCCCTTTGTTTCTGGATTTCTTGGCCCATGTCTGTGTGAGTGCACATTGCAGGTGTCTATGGAGGACTGAAAGGGTGGCCCAGTTTGGCCCAGGGCCAGCCCTGGGTTCTGGCAGTGCCAGGGAGAGTTCGGGGCAGCTCCGGCACCCCTACCCTGGCTGGGACCCCTCACCTTGAAGTAGGGGAAGTGCTCCTTCATGAAGCTGTAGATCTCACTCACGGGCAGGCTGCCTGTCTTGCTGTTCTTTAGGGCCATGGCGATCAGGCAGCTGGAGGCAAAAGGCAGGGTGGGGCAGGCCAGGTGTGAAGGCATCTCAGGCTGACAGCCCAAGATCCTCTCTGCCGGGAATTCTGCCCTGCTGAACCCCACCGGTACTAACCCCTACATACTCATAGTGTTAGCCCTCAATACCTTTTCCTGTCCTCCGTCTTTCCCACCCTCTGCCCTTCTCCTCAGTCCTGAGTGCAGCCATAGGTACTGATTTGAGAAACCTTGTCTTTTCCTCTTTTAATCCTTCCCATCATCAGTGTCTGTAGGCCTTAAGATTTTAACAAGATTTCTTACCCGCCTCCCCTTATGAAGTGCAAATACTATTATTCTGATGACTTTTTACATCAAAGGGAACTGAAACTCAAAGAGGCCAAGCCACTTCCCCAAGGCCACACAGCGTGTGAGTGACAGAGTGGAGCGCCAGGCTCAGTGTCTGGAGTGGGTTCTCAACCCTGGGTGTTGACAGACCACGTGATGGCTTTTCTTAAAAATGGGTCCCTCTGGGGGTTCCCCACTCCCCAAAAGCCTGGGCCGCCACACCCCGCTGTCTGGTGCCCTCACACCTCTCCTCCCCCAGCCCCCCACAGTCCTGGCCCCCCGGGACCTCACCTGTATGAATAGATGGGCTTGGGGTAGTGTTTGGGTGCAGTTCCTGAGATGAATGAACAGCCATGCGGGGCTGGGGGTACGGAGGCCGTGCACCAAACGGGGAGCCGTACAGGCCCATGGGAGCGCACTTCTCATAGGCAGGGACGGGGAGGGTGGCAGAAGAGATAGAGATAGTGAGAGAGAGCAGAAGTCACTCACAGTGACCGCACCCCCACCCAGTCTCGAAAAGCGAGATGCAGGGTTTACACCCCAGCAGACAACCTTGTCTCTGCCCACTGCAGGGTTCTGGGCGGAAGCGAATGAACAACCCCATGACATGGGCCTACTGGAGAATGCTATTCCCGTGTTCCGGGTGGGTAAACTGAGACTCAGAGCGGTCCTAGGCCAGCCCAAACCAGGAGGGTCTGCCTTTGATTCCAGGGCCCCTCCAAGCCCCTGGTACCTGCTGGACACCCGGGTGTAGCGGGAACGGTAATTGGGAGGTGGGAGAGTACAGCTGTGGCGGGTCCTGCAGGCTGGATGAGGGCTGGCCCCCCACAGGGAACTGGTTCATCTGCTGGGCCCGAGAGAGAAGGAGACAGAGAGTTGGGGGAGACCCCAGCCCTGGAGGACACCCCCCTCACTCCCTGACCCCTGTGGTGGCACTTACACTGGCTCCATGGTTGGCCATGGGGCCCAGACCCAGCACACCTTGGGGGGCCATGCCCGCTGGGCCGTGGAGCAGGGGACCTGGGGCAGCTCCCATATGCAGGTCAGCTGTCCTGGCCAAGGCACCTGCAAGAGGGAAACATAGAGATGCCTGGGCTGGGGGATGGTGGCTGACGGCAGGGACAGCCCAGTCCCTGGGCATCCCCAGAGAATGGAGCCACCCCCACCCTTGGGATCAGGCACATAGTAGGTGCATGGCAAATCACTTCTCTAGGTATATTGGTATAGAGTGGGTTCTTACCAGCTGCAGGTTCCTACCTGCCCCTCTGCCAAGGATTAGCTCAGGAATAGCAGATGTACCCCCTTCTTCTGTGCTGGACCTGGGACAGACATTGCTAATCTATCACAGATTCTCCCTACAACAGCCTGATTTTAGGCAGCCACCACCAATCAAAGAAAGGATTGTCTTGATGTACAAGACAATTCTGCCCTGGCCTTCAGCTCTCCTCTGAGTTCTGGCTGCCACCTGGGCCCATCCTTTGTGCCTTGAAGGGTCTGTCTGCCTTGTCCTCTGTCTCTGACCAGATCCTCAGCTCCCCGAGAGCGAGGACCACATTTTATATGACTCAGTGCTCCTAATATCTGGCAGAGTGACAGGCACACAGGAGGTGTGCAGTAGATGCAGTGAAGGAAGGGGCTTCCTTATTTCACAGTTACCATCTATTGAACACCTACTGTGTGCAAGGTACTTTCTGCATGGTGTCCTCATAACACCCCATCAGGGGAATTCTGTTCTCTCTTCATTGCAGATAAGGAACCAGGTCAGAGGGGAGGGCACTCACCCAAGGTCACACAGCTTGGGGTCTAGAACCTTGGGGTTCTAGATCAGAAATGGACAGACTACTGGCCACCAGGCCAAATCAGCCCACAGCATATTTTTGTAAATAAAGTTTTATTGACACACAGCTACATCCAGTCATTTACAGATTGTTTGTCTGTGGCTGGTTTTGTCCTGCAGGGACACGCTGAATCGTTTCAGCAGAGACCACACGGCCTCCCGGGCCTAAAATACTGAGCAGCCCTTTACAGAAAAAGTTTGCTGACCCCTGCTACTGATGTTTAAGGCGAGAACAAGTTGTCCAGTGAAAGAAATACTCCTAGACATTAATTTTTCAACTACTGGTACTTTTTAAAAATTCAAGTGTAGTTGATTTACAATGTTGCGTTGGTTTCTGGTGTACAACATAGTGATTCAATTATAGGTATATATATATTCTTTTTCGTATTCTTTTTCATTATAGGCCATTACAAGCTATTGCATACAGTTCCCTGTGCTCTGCCGTAGGGCCCTGTTGTTTTCAACAGTTGGTGCTTTTAATGTACTGCGGTGTTTGTTTCTGGTGATAGGTTTTCTTCAACACTTTCCACGTCCCTAAACGTTTAGTCCTCTTGCTATGACTGCAACTAACTGCCATTTATTGAGCACCTACTGTGTGCCGGGCCCTGTGCCCAGCACTTTCTTTGAAGAAGTCAAAGTATGTCCGTGAAGAGTCAGAGAGCAAATCTTTGCGGCTTTGCCAGCCACATGATCTCTGTCTTCTTTGCTTTTTCATAGCTCTTGAAAAATGTAAAAGCATTCCTAACACAAAGGCTGGACAAAAACAGGCCAGCGGCTGCACGTGGTTCTGGGGACTGTAGTTTGCCGACTGCTCTAGGGGTTCGGGGTGTCCCAGGGAAGGGGGAGGGTCTGTCTTTTCTGTTCACTGACACCTGAGCGCACATCGGGCCTGACACACAGCAGTGAGCAAATGAATGAACACATCCCTCCGAGGAAGGCAGGAGTCCCATTTTACAGAAGGAGAAACAGGCCCAGAGAGGGAGAGGGAGTAACCTGGCCAGGGCCACACAGCAGTGGTTGTCAGTGCTGGGTGTCACCCTTCCCCAGCACCACCCTCACACCACCCGCCTCGCCTCTGAGCCTACCTGGGTGTGCATGCGGTGCACTGGGGCCTCCCAGGTCCACGCGGCCACTCGCCATCTGCTGCAGTCGTGGCACGTCCACGGCCGTGAGCCATGACAGTGACTGCAGGTCCCCAGGAAGGTCGTCATCGCTGGTGGAGGCCAGGAGTCTGCAGGGAGGAGCAGGAGCTTGAGTGGGGCGGGGAGCTCGGGCCAGCCCCTGTGGGGGGCTCCCCTACCTCTGGAATCACCCCCTTGGTCTCTCCCCTCCCCAAGCCATTCTAATCTTCCAAGCTGCCCATCCCCAGGGATTTCCCTTGAGCAGCCAGCTCGCCCATCCTCAAATCTTCCCTTCATTTATTCACTTAACATGTTGTACTTGGTTCCCATCCCCCAATACTCAACACTAAGGTTTGTTGAGCACTTACTATGTGCCAGCCACTGTATCAATTCCTTCACGGGTATTAACTCATTGAACACACCCAGTCACCTGATGGAGGCAGGTGTTATTATTCCCATTTCACTGATGGGGAAACTGAGGCTCAGAGCACTGAGTCACTCACCCAAGGAACAGGAAGTGGTGGGGCTGGAAGCCGGGCCATGTGGCCCGATGCCTGAACTCTTCACCGTGACCCCAGGCAGCCCCTAGAGGGTCCAGTTAGTATCCACGCTCACCACCCCTCAACCCATTCATGAGCGAAAACATTGCTTTCTGTGGAAAGACAAAGCCTGCCCATCAAGGATACCAGGCAGGTACCCCAATTTGGGGTAACTGTGGCTCCCCAGTGCCCTTGAAGTCATGCTCACCACACGCCCAGCAGCATCTCGTCCACGTTGTAAGGTGGCAGCAGAACTGTCAGGAGCCCATGCTAGGCCCACCACGCCTGCCACCCGGGGCCAGATGAGGCCCTGCTGGCCACACACTTTCTGGTCTGATGCCCAGAGGCCCACTGTCCGAATTTTAAACTCCAGTTTTCAGAAATAGGCATCCTGGGTCCAAGTAGAGCCGGGGTGAGAGATGCAGCCTGTGGCTTTTCTCCCGCACGTGACAGTGGACCCTGCGGGGGCATCCGTCTCTACCCACTCCTGCCACCTGCATGGCTGCCCCAGCCGGTGTTCCCTCTCCTCCTCTTCCTCCGTCTCTCTTCCCCCCTCCTTCCCATCTCGCCCGCTCTCTCTTTCCCTGTGTTTTAGGGCCACAATTAGCGTTGCCATGGCTCCCGCTGCTCGGTTGTCGCAGGGCCTGGGCCCTCAGCCCACCAAGCTGGCATCAGGTGACGGCCTGGCTGCCCCAGCGATTGGCTGCCTCGTAGGAAAACAGGGCCTGGAGATGATTTGAAAACCCAGCCGGCCCGTGTTGGTGGCAGCAGTTGGCCTGGCTGCTGTCCCCTGGTGGCCCATTGTGTGACAGACGACTGTTGCCCCCGTGGCACGTGGTTCCTATTGTCCTGGGGTCTCCATGCAATTGTTTTTACAGCCCCCCCCAGCTGCCGCCCATTCGACCCGCTCATAACTCATCTGGACGAGTGACAGCCACGGGCCAGGCCTGGTGGATGCCATCTGTCCTCTCGGGCCCAGGGAGACCATGGGGTGAGGCTGAGGGGCAGGGCCTGGTGTGCCGCCTGCCGTCGGGGAGCCTGGCCGGCCCCACCCCGCCCTCCTCATCCCACAGCCCGCCGACCTCCCAGCATCTGGTGATGCAAGCCCCACTCCTGCCCAGTAAACTGCTGTAGCTCCCCACTGCCCTTGCTGCTCTGCCTGACACTGAGGCCACAGGGAGGAGTGAGGATGAGGCCCTGCTGGCAAGTTTCTTAAGGTGGGGGCCCCACCAGCGCCCCCAAATGGTAGGAAGAGGGGCTTGTCAATCCCCAGTCTCTCTGGTGGTGGGAGAATCTGAAAGGCAGTACACCCACTGGTTCAGAGCGTGGGCTCTTTAGGGGGAGGGTGTAGCTCAGTAGTAGAGCGTGTGCTTAGCATGCACGAGGTCCTGGGTTCAATCTCCAGTACTTCCATTAAAAATTTTTTTTTCATAAATAAGTAAACCTAATTACCTCCCTCCCCTAAACAAACAAGCAGACAAACAAAACAAAACAAAAAACAAAAGCGCGTGGGCTCTGGTTCTAATCCTGATTTTCACTTCCCTGTGTGTCCTTGGGCTACTGACTTAACCTCTCTGAGCCTCAGTTTTTGATCTGTACAATGGGGATAAATAAGAGTTCCTATCACATAGGATATTGTGAGGATTAAATGTATTATTGCTTATCAAGCCTTGGAACCATTTCTGACTTCGCTATCATTAATGTTAATATTAATGATAGTATTACTCAGGTCCTCAGGGACCAGAAGTACACTGAAGCTCTGGGCTGTGACATCAGATGTACTTCCAAACCTCCCTGAGCCTCAGTCTCCACATCTGCCAAGTAGGGTAACAGTGACAGAGGCAAAGCACTCATAAGAGGCTCTTAGTGAATGTCCATCCTCCCCCTCTGCCCCTTCTCTCTCTGACGAGGCACCCGGGGCTCCCTAACCCCCCCCCAGACACGTCTTCAACCCACACACTCATATACCCATCATCTCTGTGTCCCCACCAGCAGGGATGGATGTTCAGAGCCACTGAGTCAGGCTTTCAGGGGATGAAAGCAGTTAACCCAGGCTCCCCTCGGCCCAGTGCTGGGGAGCCATGGCCCCCGCCCCACCCTTCAGCCAGCTCAGGTGACCGTGCTTTGACACGGGCATAGCCCATGCCGGGCCCTGGGGTTGTTCCCACCTCCTCCAGCACACCTCCATCGAGCCTTCCTCTGCACCTGCGTACCTTGCATTCTTTCACAAAGGATGCCTTTCTTTCTCCTTCTCTGGATCTGTCAGCATCCCCCCACCTGCACCCCCATTTCTCTGAGGCCCAGGGAGCACCCTAGTGGGCCACCAGCCTCCACCTTCTGGACTTGGCTGATGTCCCCAGAGAGGGCAGGGGCTTCACCCCCAGGTCTGGTGGGGAGGAGGCTAGGACAGGGTCTGCGTCCACTGCTGGTTGCAGGCGGCCTCAGGAGAGCCTGATGCTGAAGCAGGAACCTCGCACCCACCCCCTGAGGGACGAGCAGTACTCCCAGGGCGCATCATGATGGGCCGGGCATACAGTGGGTGCTCAATAAATACTCATGGATTGGACAAGTGAGCAAACAGATCTGACTGTCCAGATGCCCCACCCTCACTGCCCTGGCACCTAGGCAGGGGGTGAAAGGCCCAGCTTAATTTTATTTAATTTTATAGTTAAATAAAATTGAATTTCATTACAGCCTGTGGACACAGTTTGGAGTGAGTGAGCCCCTGGGGTGCACCCCACCCTGAACTGAAGTGGGTAACACGACTGATCTTGTGGCATCCTCACAAGAGCCTGATCAGGTAGGGATGTTACCATTACTGCCATCCCATTTGGCAGATGGGGACACTGAGGCCAGGGAGAAGCAGGCCCATCTAGACTGGGTTGATTTCAGCCCCACCATCCTCTCTCCCTGCCTGCAGGGTATGGTTGAAGAACTCTGTTCTGTGAGTTCTAGAAAATGCTGACACTGTGCTAGCCAATAGGAAGCCACATGTGGCTACTGAAATTTAAATTCAGTAAAATTATAGATTCAGTTTCATCACGCCAGACACATTTCAAGTGCTTGGCGGCCACACGTGGCCAGTGGCTGCAGTACTGGATGGCACAGATGGGGAACACTTCCAATATCATGGAACATTCTACGAGGTGGCAGTGTTCTGGAACATTCTTTAATCTTGATGGACAAATCTGCAGTGTTTTTGCCTTGCCTTTTTTTTTTTTTTATAGTGCCCTCAGGTTTTATTAACATGCTTGGTCTGAGTAACTCATCTCCATTTCCTGATGGCCAAGTAGGACGCTGACAAGGCCCCTAAGGCAGCTCCAGCCATTATGGCTCCGGGGAGGCCGGCCACCCACAGAGCCTGGGCGTCTGCAGGAGACCTTGAGCACTTCCTGAGCTTCTCTGAAGAGTCCCGAGTAGCTTGGAGTAGAACCATGGGACCCTTGCTAGAAACAAGGCAAGGTAAAAACAACTGGGTGTTTGATTTGGATTTGGACATTTTAGGGGCTGATTTCATGGAAGGTTAAGTTTTATTAGATTTTGTTATAAAAGAGTCATCCACCCCACCCCACACCAGCGAGGAAGTTGGGGGAAAGGGCTCTGTAAAAATGGGAGCCACATACTAAGGCATCTCATGAGGTAGTGAGCTCTCTGTCCTGGGAGCATTCAAGTGGGAGCCAAGGGATGACCTGTCTGGCCCCTGTTAAATGAAAGATGAGCTTAAGCAACCTCCAAGATCCCTTTGGATACAAAGACCCTGTAACTCCTGGGAGCCGTCTGCAGTTAAACACCCGGTTGCATTTCCGAAGTTCTATCATCTTGGACAAGCCCCTTCCCTCTCCAGGCCTCAGTTTCCCCATCTAAAGCAGTCGTGGCAGAGGAGAAGTTCGCTCAGGGCCCTCGTGGCCCAAGGGCTCTAGGAAGGCAGAGTAGCACTCTGGGGAGGAGCAGGTGTGAGCCCCAAGGCAGGCGGGCCTGGGCCTGAACTCTTCCTGGCTGTGTGACTGCTGCCCTGGGCCTCAGTTTCCCCGTGTATAAAATGGGAATAATAATAGCACCTACCTGTGGGGGGCTGAGGAGAATGTAAGAGTTCACTTAAGCATAAGATCAAATGAAGCACCTAGTTTTCTGCTGAAAAAACAGGTTCAACTATTAGTTCCCTTTAGGACCCCTGAGGAGGCATCTGTCTCAAACCAAGTGGGGGATTTGCCACCAGCAGGGGGTCCTCATTAGTCAATGGAGAGCTTTGGGGGCAAAACGAAAAAAAGACCTAGGGAGCATGCCAGGGTCTTCTTCTGAATAAAAGAGATCACGCCCTACTCCCCGCCCACACAAGACGGACTTCTCTCCAAAGCTCTGTTACATCCATCTTTTCCATGTTAAAAAACACACGCACACCCCTATGGGGCATCATCGCCCCCTTTCACAGGTAGGAAAGGTGAGGCCAAGCCAGGTGAATTCGCCTCAGCAGCCTCCTGGCAGTGGCCCCAGGTACCTGCCCCAGCAACTCCCCTGGGCCCCAATTTCCGCACCTGGAATGCAAGGGGGTTGAGCCCATCCCAGTGTCTGGGGGGGGGGCCACTGAGACACACAACCCCTAGGGCCACCCGGGGTGGGGGACTTCAGAGGTGGGCAGCCGACCTCTGCTGGGAAGTGGGATGCTGAAGGGTCCGGTCCCATTCGGAAGGAGTCGCAGCGTGGTGTCTGAGAGGGGGCAGACCCTGCTCAGGAGCGAGTGGTACCTTGGGGCCATCAGTATCAGGATAATGCTCTGTCATCAGTGCAGTAATGGTGTTGCCGATTTTCAGGTGCCTACTATGTGCTCATCACTTGACCCATGTTCCCTGTGTGCCCTTGTGAGTTTTGCTCTGAAGGCGCTGGGCTTATCAGAAGGCGCGGGTCCTCCCATCCCATATGGAAAAAGCCTGTGCCCAGGGCTCACGCGTCCCTCTTTTTGTAGCATTTCAGTGTAGTTGGTTATGGTGTAAGCTCTGGGGTCTGCCACACCCGGCTTTGAATCCTAGCCAGCCACTTAGAAGCTGTGAGATTTGTCTGCCATCAGCTGCCTCTCTGAGCCTCAGTCTGCTCATGTGTACAATGAGGGTGCTAACCCCTGTATCCACCTCATAGGGTGTTGTAAGGACTGAAGAAGATAGTTCTGTTGGAGGGGGGCGCCTGGGTCATCACTGCATTGCACGGTAGGGTTCATATTCATGTGAACATCCTCCAGGGAGTATGAGTTCAGCATGAAGAGGGCTCCGTGGAGAGGGTCACCCACAGAATATCCAACACTCAGTAAGCATCTGCTTCATTCCACAAATACTTCCTGAACTCCCACCTGCCATGCCTTGTTCTGGCCGGCAGACAAAACTCTTTCTGTCCAAGGAGAAAACTTTCTAATTGACCTAGGGATGCACAGGAGGGGAGGTCTGCCCCATGACATGCCCACCTTCCTGCCAGCCCTCTTAGGTCTGGACCTCCCTTGTCTCCTGACAGCCTGTGGGGTGGCTACTTAACAGACCCATTTCACAGATGGGATGGTTGAGGCCCAGAGAGGGGAAGGGATACCCCTCAGCCTCTCAGTGCATGGTGACAGGGCCACTGGTTGGGGGACCCTGCGGTAGCCCTGGGCAAAGCAAGATACCACTGGAGTCCATGACTACCATTCTGCACCAGCCAGGGGACCAGGCTGAAAATATCAGTTAACAATAGCCGGTGGGGAGGGTATAGCTCAAGTGGCAGAGTGCATGCTTAGCATGCACGAGGTCCTGGGCTCGATCCTCAGTACTTCCTCCAAACACAAATAAATAGATAAACCTAATTACCTCCCCACTCCAAAATATTAAAAAAAAAATAGCCTTAATTGATCAGCTGTGCTGCTGGGGGGATGGAAGATGAGCCAGGAGAGTGGAGTGCTGGGCAAGTAAGCCCGGGGAGACCTGGATTCCAGTCCTGGCTCCACTCTTATTGCAGGCCTCTGTGCAGGTGACTGAATGCCTTTGAACCTCAGTTTTCTCATGTGTGGAACAGAGGTGATCACAGGGTCTGCCTCTGGGTTCAGGGCACGTAAACCACTAGAGGGCATGGTTCAGTGTTTGGTTTGAGTGCTAGGCAAGTGTTTGTGGAATGGATTTCAGACCCAGCAGTCAGAGTCACCTTTCAAAAGGGACATCAGAGCCTGTCAATGTCCTTAAAACCCATCGGAGTTGTAAGAGTTTAGCTCCCTGCCACAAACTGGCTCTTGGCTATCTCGTTCCTGATCCCCTCTGCTCTGGTAAACCTGGCTGTCTTTCAGTTCCTCAAACATTCTATGTTCTCTTTACACATGCTGTTCCTTCCGCCTAGGATGTTGTTCCATGCACTTATTCATGGCTGGCTCTTTCTCATGCTTCTGGTCTCAGCCAAAAAGTTCCCTCCTTGGAGAGGCTCTCCTTGGCCACCCCCACCCCTGGTGGTCCTTCCTTTGGTTCCTTCTGGAGAACATTTTGACAGTTTGCAATGAGGTATTCGTGTATATCTTTCCAATCTTTCTGTTCTAGGAGCACAAGGGCAGGGAAGCCCTGTATTTTGTTCAGCACCTGGCACAGGGCCTGGCACCCTGTGGGCATTTATTACATACCTGCTAGGGTAGGAAAGGGAATAAGGATCCTCCTTGACTCCAGCCCAGTTCAGCTCCAACCCATCTTGCATCCCCCAGTCTCTATCCATTTCCTGCCCAGCCTCCCCCAGACACCGCCTCCCCCAGGAAGTCCTCCTAGACCAGTCCAGCATTTCCCAGTCTTTCCATCCCCTGAAATGACATGGCAAAAACTCCCAAGATCACTCGTTAATTCTCCTTGGGTGTCTCTGCTCTTATTTCCCCCTGCCTTCTAAGTCCAGAGCCCACATTTAACCCTTTATTTCCTGTCTTGGTGTATGTGTTGGGGGTTGCTTAGAGTTGATACAGCAGTTGTGCCATGGAAGGAACATCTATTGTGGGTTCAAATTCTATCTTAACCCCTTTGGAGCTGTGTGACCTTGGATAAGTCGCATCTCTGTGCCTCAGTTTTCCCATCTGTAAAATGGAATAATAATATAAAAATAATAATTATATTATTATTATTCCCACCACAGAGGGCAGCCATGAGGATGAGATCAGATAACC